CTCCATCTCACTCCAGATCACTAAATCTATTGAATTCTTCATCCTTGGTGTCACTTCCATAGAACTATAATAAATTATTATAGATCCATGGCCATTCCACGAGGTAAACAGGGCGCCGCTTCCTTTTCTGTGTAACTGTCATCAGACTCGGCATCAGTTCCAGTTAGAATTATTCTAGCCTTTCTGAATCTCAACAGAATGGTTTCGGTTGTCACTGAAGTCCAGGCTTTGTCGATTCATCCAGTGACTTCCAGAAATGTTGCATGACGCATCCTCCTGGTTACCATGAAGCTGTGTTCTCCATCCCCACTTTCCCGCCAGTCCCTCACAAGTTTCTCGCTCTCTCCAAACTTTCCTTCTGCTGCTCGATTACCGTTTTCGGGTGAATATTTCACAACTTACAGCAGGACAACAGCTTTTTCTGCAGGAGACATGCTCAGACGCACAAGCCTAGAGCCTCTCACGGCTGTCAGTCTGTAAATTTTAATATATAAGTCGCACCGGAGTATAAATCGCAGGAAACACCCAAACCATGAAAAAAAAATGCGACTTATACTCCAAAAAATACCGTATATGTATTATCGAATCTTTTTTTCGTTCCAGTGACATTAAATTAAAAATCCTTGCTCTCACAAGTAATAGTTATACTTTTTTTCTATGACATGAGTAATTTCTTGGACCATTACTTTGTGTTTGTACAATTTTGGCATTTTATTTACCACTCCCATCCTAAATGTCATATGGCGATTCTACTTATTTGAGCTTTTAATCATGTTATAAAGTTTTTAGCTTGATACAAATGACTCCCTTCTGCGCTGACATTTGGCCATAACAGCTTCCATATTTGTAAGTTATAAAGTAGTCACAAAGTCAAGTCCAGCCCAGTTTTCATTGTTATCAATTGTAGCAACTCTAGTCTTGGCGTATTCTTTCTGTCACAGTTCTTTTGTTCTTCTTGGGGATGGGGCTGTACTGTATCAGTGAAAAATGCCCTTGGTGTACAATCGTTTCCTTTGAAAATGCTAACACGTGTGAGGAGTTGAGACTGTCGCCAATGGCATGACATCAAATGAAAACAAAAGCGTGTTCACTGAAAAATTTAAAATAAATTTGCTTTATTTATTATGATTGAAAGGATTAAGGAGAAGCATATTACAACTTGGAAGTGAACTGTTAAAAAGAATTGAGGACGTGTACACGCGATGTGTCAATTCAAGATTTGGACAGTCTCAAACATCTGAGCTGTTATTGGTGTTTGTCTTAGAATAATGTACTTGTTCTCTTTTTAAAGGGCCCATATTACACTATTTTCTGATTTATGTTATAATGTTGTTTCCTCATCACAAACAAATCTGGAGATGTGTTTTTGGTTCATTCACTCATGTTTAACACACAGATCCTACATTAATCTGAGTTCTTCTTTCAAACAGAAAACACTTTGTTCCACCTAATAATACAGGAAGTGCTTCACTGTGTTTTTAAACTCCATACACCTTCACCAGAATCATTTGGATGATTTCAGCTCTGGAATTGCCAATCTTTACTGAACAAAAGGTAAATGGTAGCTGTTAACTTGAAAATTACGGCTTCATGACATCACAAGGTGGAACAGAGCATTATGAGTTTTGGAGATGGAGACGGACTAATAATAACAGATTACTTAAACATGTGTAAATGTAACAAAACACAACTCCAGGTCTGTTTTTGAGGAGGTAACAACATTCTAAAGTGGCTTAAAAATCTGTGTATCATTTGTTCATTCGTTTTTCAAAATAAAACCAAAAATAAGAAAACGAAAAAGCAACTATTTTCTTCATTATTTGTCTCTAAACGATTTGTTTTTTTCAGTTTTTGATTTTGTGTTTAAATGAATAATTCAAAAAACAAACAGATAACTCCTGTTTCCGTGACTTAAACTGCGATGCTGGACTTTTGTGCCATATACGGATTGAACCAGGACTGATCCAAGGACTAAAATAGGTTCCGGTCTCAGTCCTGGTCTCAAGCATGGTCTCAGTCTCCTTGTGGTCCTGATCTCAGTCCTGATCAACCGAGAGTCTACGCAGGCGCACCTCTGGGCCTGTCCTGACACTCAGTCCTGGTTCAGTCCTGGTTTAATCCTGGTTTAGACCTGGTTTAGACCTGGTTTAGACCTGTTAGTCCTTTTTTAGTCCTGTTTTAGTCCTGGGATCAGTCCTGGTTCAGTTCTTGTTCAGTCCGTACGCAGCGCAAAAGTCCAGCATCGCAGTTTAAGTCTGATACACGGATTCTTAAAGCTCACAAGAGTCAATTTTATGTAATATAGGACCTTTATTTAGCTTTGTTTACATTAACCTTTAAACTTTATGTCCCTGATGTAAATATAAAAACAGAATACGCGATGGAAATATAGCCAGATACAGCGAGAAGTGAAGTAGTAGTCTAAGTTTGTAAGCCTTTTGCCTTGACTATGCTACGCAGTGCTTTTAGGAATCCTCATAAATTCTCATTTATCTCCGGTTGTCCCTTTTTGAAGTACATATATTTTCAATGCATCTTACATAAGCAGTTCAAAAACCTAATTCACATGGGAGTATAATTTATGCTTTTCATAATCCTCACCTGATGTTTTCAATAAATCCAAGCCATATCTTTTGCAGAGTACAAACTAAGTCATTTTCAAGGTCCTATGTTACACAAAATGGATTCTTGTGAGCTTTAAGCCGTGTTATAAAACATACCCGGAGTTGTGTTTTGTTTCATTCACACAAGTTTGAGTAATCCTTTATTATTATCTCCAAAACTCAAAATGATCTCTTCCACCTTGTAGTTTTCAATTTATCAGCTCCTTACTTCCTTTTAGTTCAGGAGAAGTTGGCAATTCCAGGGGTGAAAGTATTTAAATGATTCTAGTGAAGGTGTATGGAGTTTAAAAACACAGTGGAGCACATGGAGAGAAAAGAGCTAAGCCTAAATATGCAGGATTTGTATGTTAAATGTGTAAACGAAACAAAACACAACTCCAGATAAGTTTGTGATGAAGAAACAACATTATATCGTAGATCAGAAACTGGAGTAACAGAGGCTTTTTTTTTTTAAACAATGTCAACAGATATACCTCTTTACCATTCCATCAGCAGGCGGTAAATCGAGAGAGGTTTTTGAGTGAAAGTTGTGGGTCAGTTGATGCCAGGCTCTTCATCCTGTTTGTGGACTGTGCCAAGGCCCTCGTGTGCAACAATAGAGTCCCACGTCTGATGGTAACGCTCTACTTTAATGGGATTTGAGTCAAGACAGGATGCATGTGGTTGCCTCTCCAGATCACTTTCCTTCCTTTGCTTTGTTTTTGTATAAATAAAAAAAAAAGATTTGTTATTCAGGGAGGTCCAACAGGGAGTGAATGGAAGAAGTGAGTCCAGGTACAGTTTATGGGAACAAACAATACAAGCTCGAATGTGGTGGGTGTGTTTTTGAAGTTAAGATGACAAAATAGGTTGACGTAGGATTGGCTGATGTACAATAGGAATTTCATTAACTTTTTTGAGACATTTGAGGTGAATACTTTCTTAAATATGCATCATTATTGTCTTCAAATGTGAAAAACAGAACTAGTTTAGTGATTTTAAAGAGCTTGCAGAGGTCCAAGTCCAAGTTGTTCATCACTTACCTTATGCATTTCTCTCTTCCAAATGATTCACCGTGATGAGTTTATGAATATTTCACAACTCTGCAGGAGGCCAGACTGGAGTTTTGCCATCGCGGTAATGCTAAGAATAACTAGCATGCTAAAAGTGCACTTCCTGATTCTTAGAAATGCAGACAGCACGCAGTGATCTCATTATATTACTCATTACTAAGAGTTGTTGCAATATATCTTTACTTCGGTAAAACACATTTTGCTCAACTAAACAGAAAGAAATCGAGTGTAGCCACTTTAATAGCCTGATTCATCAGCTGGTTTCACTTCACGGAAACCGTCTGACCTCGCAGCATTAGAATTCGTTTGCTCGATGGTAAGTGGGTACTTTTATGATTTAACCAATCGCTGCTATTTGGTCGTGACATATGTAATGCGCCGCTAACGGGGCTAAGTGGTAAAACTTTCCCAAATCCTGTAGGAAGAAGGGCAATGACGTATTTCCCCTTGATAAAATTCACCAAACATTCTTTTTGTTCCGGCTTTAAATCCTCAATCTCAGGAATTGTTGCCGACACAGAATGTATGGCTCTTCGCTGATTGGCTGGTGCCTGAATTTGCACTTCCGAGGTTTTTGCGAACCGTCTAGTGTATTCTGATTCCTGACCTAGTCGCTGGAAAGAAATGAAATTGAGCAGAGGCACTAGGTGGTGCCAGCCTGGCTTCCACTTTTATGCCTCAGTGTCACAATTCATATTAACACCAACAAACATTTTTACAAGAGTTTTTTTTGTTACCATTTTCTATAAATCAATCAACTTTATTTACAGAGCAATATAACAATATAAGAGAGATATTAACCATGACTATTCTGCACTACAGAGGCAAAAGACCATAACTCGCCAGAGTGTGAAACTGAGAAAAATGACTTCAAAGTTTCTGTTTTGTCCAGACATAAGTATAATAGGTCGGGCTTCCAAAATGTGACAACTAGTTGCTATAATGAAGAAATATTTGTATGCGAAAAAATATTGAGGCAAAAGGCAGTAAGTGACACTGTGTTTGTACGACTCCTTGTTTTTGGCATATGATACAAAGGCAGAGTACAGTCACTGCCAAATAATGGTCAAAGGTAAATTTTGAGCTCAATATTTTTCACGATATTTATTCACATGATAAAGGAGGGCTCAAATACCCCAAAATGACATTAACTCATTTTTGACCAAACATGGGATAGATTTATATTTCCATAACAGTAAAATAAATTTGGCATTTGAAAATATTACTACAGATTGCAAGCCTCTGTTGACTTTTTCAAATAGCACTTGTCAGTTTTTGCAAATGTACTTTTCCAATACTAACCTCCCATTTCTCCATATGACAGGTGTTTGGTGAGACGGAGCCAGTGCGGATGACTTCGGAGGGCTCGGACTGCAGGTGTAAGTGCATCATGAGGCCTCTGTCCAGGGACGCGTGTGTGCGTTTGAAGAGCGGGGCGGTGCGCGTGGAGGACTTCTACACGGTGGAGACGGTCAGCTCCGGCTCGGACTGCAAATGCTCCTGTACGGCCCCCCCCTCCTCCCTCAACCCCTGCGAGAACGAGTGGAAGATGGACAGACTCAAGAAGCAGGCGCCAGAGCTACTCAAGGTCAGATAGTATAGATTCTTTATATGGAAGATCTTTTGTTTTCATCAGATTTTGAAAGCGAGGAGTGGGGGTGCTCCTGCGTTATTGTTGGGGGGTTGTTTTTTTTGCAAACTGGGTGCACTGAGGCATCTATTTCGGGTTAATAAGACCAATCGAGACCAAGTTCTGTCCGAGAGCACTGGGTCCCGAGACTTAGACAAAACCAAGACCGCCGATGTTCAAGCCTGAGACAAGACCAAGACTTTTAAAGGTCGAGCCCGAGACAAAACCAAGACCACGGCCCATCGAGACCAAATTGAAAATTTATTATTTTGGCACATACTGTATCTGTCCCCATTCTATCTGATTCATGTTCATTTAGGCATAAAATAAGCCAAACAAACTCTACTGCAGTTAAACACTCTTCTCTACTTTTTTGGACCCTCACCCACAGTTTGAGAACCCATTTTTTAAGATAGTTTCCACTGGCACTTTACAGAAAACTGCTTCGAAGTGAAAAAGTGGGCAGGATTTTTAAAACGTTTTTTTCAAATTCCTCACTGGAGTTACATTCTCTTACTGGTTTTACAGTGGTATTTAGGAGCCTCTGCACATTTACCAAACCGCACGCACATCACAAACTTCAGCCCACATGTCGCAGTAGGTCTGCACTGTGCCGTAGGCCTGCTGTGCCGACACTGTAGCATAAATTATGATAAGTTTTTGCTTCGCGGTTTCCCTTCAAATCAGCGCAACCGGCCGATGTGTGCTATACACGGGGAGAGAGAGCGTGAAAAAGTGAGGAGTGGCACGCTGACATAAGACAAAAAAAAAAAAAAAAAGACAGGTACAAGGTTTTAAAAAGTTTAACCTGCCCTGTGATACACGCTGATACGCAACAGGATGGTTTGAAGCACCGGTCCGAGTTTATTGCCAACAGCAGCGGCCGTAATGAAATATGTTCGCCCCCATCCCCAAAACTTTTCTCATCTAATCTACACGATTCATGTACTTCACCTGTTTTGGCTTCAAAACACAGAATTTCACCAAAAGATGAGAGATTTTTATGCCTGTTAAAGGTGCACTATAACTTTTTGGTTGGAGGTCCGTCACCTGCTTGTTGCTATGGATATGTCATTGCTCCGCCTGGAATGTTCCACAGTATGACATTAAACAACTCTACTTTACATTTACTCAATTACAAGTGGGTTTATAGCTAAAAATACCTAGAAAAACAGGCATTTTGACTGTGAGTGGAGTCGCCTCTCCAGAGATCTGACCTGTAACTTGGTTCTGGTTTGGTTTTCATAAAGATAGAAAGGTTTAATACCATACTGTGAAACATTCCAGACAAAATAATAACATCTCCATGGAGACAAGCATTTGACGGTTGAATTCGAGGGCTTGAAAATATATGTGCTGAATATTTACATTTATTTTATTATTTATTTTTATTTTAATTTGAAACATACTGAAAAAGTATACTTAAAATTTCAACAAAAATTCAGAATAAAAAAATTATTCAAAATCAGCGGTATTTAAAATTCAAAATCTGATGGAATAAGTTATCTTCCATCTCCTAAGTTGTGTAGTTGGTTAATCAGTTGGTGATGTTTGAGTCGACCGATATTACTTCACAAATTGTTTTTATTTAGATTATGAGGATTTATATGGGACAACAGCAGAAAGGAGAAGAAAAGACGTGAGATGGTTAAAGATTTGGGAGTTTAATCTTAATCCTTTTGACACGTAAATACACTTCTGAGTACTTTTCTGTATAAATGGTTGTTTTTACATTTCTTTTTCAGTTTTTTGGACGACTGAGCGATTTCACAAACACTCTGTAAAGGGAAATCTCCGTACAGCCCCCCACCCACACATACATAATAACTAAACTCTATTATTATATCCTATCAGCCAACTCAAACATAAAACAATGCCTTGCCTAACAACTGTGCAGGTCATACAAACACATCTTGCAAAATTTAATTGCTACCATTTTATAGACACAGGCACATTTTCCTAATCCAATCTGTGAATAGGCTGCATGTGTCCAGGGAGGCTGATGACACATTAGGGTGGAGGGCATGTTTTCTCTGTAAACTATAACACAACATGAGAGAGTACAAACGAAATACAGTGTTTTATCAGAATTTGAGCAAGTCATTTTATTGGTACTTAAATCTGTACCTGATTTAAAACTTGGAAAAACAGAACAAATGCATTTTCACGGTCTGAAGTGATCCGAAGTTAATCCTCACTTACCTCATATGTTCCGAGCATCTAAATTTTTCACCGCGATGACTTTATTGGGGTTTTTCACAATTCTCAGAGACCAAGAGTGGCAGTAAAAAAATAACAACAACTAGCATGCTAAAGTGCACTTCCTGATTATTGGTTTCTTTCTAATTAGATGCAGACAACACGCGGTAGACTTATTTTGACGTCAAAGCTCACAACAACTAGGATGCTAACACACACTTCCTGAATTTTGGTTACTTTCTAATTAGATGCAGAGTGTGGATCGGGCCGATTTTTTCAGTTCAAGACCGGCTCTTGTCCGACAGAGCAGTGATCAAATCCGAACCGAGCCCGATAGGCATTAAGATATTTGTGTTCGAGTGCGACCGAGCCCGACACAATTATAATCTCACTATTTTCATCGGCCTAATGACACACGTAGGATATTGTTTGTGTGGAGAGTTCGATTTTATCAAGCAACTGAAAAAAGCACACACAGATGAGCGCACACACGGAACAACAAGTGCACAAGAGGCCGGGCCCAGTCATGGTAGCTAAACAATTTAAATGAAATTAACATGAGAATACCAGAACAGCAGAACAAAATCCAAAACATTCAGAGTTAGCTATACCTACATAATAGCCTAAGCTGTTTTTAATTTTACATTTCAAATGTCTTATTGCTCTGATGTGTCCAAATCCGACCCGAGCCCAAACATATTTGTCTGAGTCTGACCGAGCCTGTCGGATTTCGATGGATCCCATCGGCCTTCTGTCGAGTTTCCATTCTCTAGCAGACAACATGCAGCAGACTTATTTTGTCATTAAAGATAACAACAACTAGCATGCAGACACACACTTCCTGTCAATGGTTACTTTCTAATTAAATGCAGACAACACGCAGCAGACTTATTTTGACATTAAGATAACAACAAGTAGCATGTTAAGGCGCACTTCCTGTCATTGGTTACTTTCTAGTTAAATGCAGACAACACACAGCAGACTTTTTTTGACATAAAGCTAACAACAACTAGTATGTTAAAGCGCACTTCCTGTCTGTGATTGGTTACTTTCTAATTCAATGCAAACAGCAGGCAGCAGACTTATTTTGACATTGGAGATAACAACAACTAGCATGTTAAAGCGCACTTCCTGTCATTGGTTACTTTCTAATTAAATGCAGACAACACGCAGCAGACTTATTTTGACATTAAATATAACAACAACTAGCATGCTGACACGCAGTCCCTGTCATTGGTTACTTTCTAATGAAATACAGACAACACGCAGCAGCACTTATTTTGACATTGGAGATAACAACAACTAGCATGTTAAAGCACACTTCCTGATTATAGATTGGTTCCTAATTAGACGCAGACGGCACGCAGCAGACTCATTTTCATCTCAAGAGCCGCTTATTCAACACAGCTGTACTAGGGCAAGACAAATTTTGCTCAAATACAAGGGAAAAACAGGAGCATTAAAGGTGCACCGTGTAACTTTTTGGTTGGGACTTCGTCACTTGTTTGTTTCTATGGATATGTCACTCTCTGCCTGGAATGTTCCACAGTATGACATTGAACAGTTCTACCTTTATTTCCTTCATTTATTCAATTACAGGTGGTTTTATAGCTCTAAAATTCCTAGATACACAGATCTGACGTGTAACTTGGTCTGGTTTGGTCTCCGTGATGATAGAAAGGTTTAATGCCATACTGCGAAACATTCCAGACAAAGCAATAACACCTCCAACGGACCCTTCACCAGAAAACTTACACAATGCAAAGAACTAAATATAACTAAGAGATTTTAGAAAGATTTTTGGACTTAATGTAACTTCTGTGCTTTAAAAAACACCATATACCACCTCTGTTCGGTGTATTTCAAAAGCCAGTGAGTTACTTTACTGCTCTGTCCATTAAAGTCTGGCTCCAGTAGCTTCAAAGTCCAATTATTTCTTTATAACGGCGATATCACAATTCATTGGTCCATTACTTTTACTGCTAAGCGCTTCTGCAACTGTACCTGAGGCCTATATACTGAACAGGTCAGACAGCAGGGCCATATGGTCTTGTAGCCATTATAGCATTTATTAAAGATATAGATAAGATAAAATAATGCATTAACGATGGCGGGCTTTTTATTTTTATGAGCCATTTGTGTAATCTTGGTTTAATCCTAGTTTTGATCTCATTTAGTTTAGGTTAAGTTCAAATCTGTAAATCATTGTCCAATCCAGTTTTAGTACTGGTGGGAGGTCTTCTACTTCTCAGTGGTGATTTTATTACTTTTTCTGGAATGTTCCACAGTAGGGCATTTAACGTATCTACAGTAGCTTGCATTTATTTATCACAGAGGTTTTTAAAATACCTTGAAATTCATGCATTTGTGAGCGGGGTCACCTCTCCACTAGCCTGATTCTTCAGCCGGTTTGACTTCGTTTCACTTCGTACAAACCGTTTGACCTCGCAGCCTTAGATTTCATTCGCTTGACGGTAGGCGGGTACTTTCTATCATTTAACCAAACGCTGCTATTTGGTCGTGACTTATGTAATGCGCCGCTAAAGGGGATAACTGGTATATTAAGCTTTTCCCAAATCCCATAGGAAGAAGGGCAATAATGTCTTTCCCCTTGATGAAATTAACCAAACATTCTCTTTGGTCCGGCTTTAAATCTTCGATCTCGGGATTCGTTGACAACACTGAATATATCACTCTTCGCTGATTGGCTGGTGCCCGAACTTGCACTTCTGGGGTTTTTGCGAACCGTCTAGTGTATTTTGATTCCTGACCTAGTCGCTGGAGAGAAATGAAATTGAGCGGAGGCTCTAGGTGGCTCCAGCCTGGCTACCTCTCCACAGCTGTGACCTGTAACTTGGCATGAATGCGCCGATTACTTTTCTCTATGGAAACAGATTTAGGTTATAGGTTTAATGCCATACTATGGAACATTCAAGGTCAAGCAGTCACAACCCCATGGAGACAAACAGGTGGCAGACTTTCCACTAGAAACGATACGTAGTGCACCTTTAAGTTGTAGATCAGTTATGGTGTATCCACTCTTATCCAGTCTAAAAGTTGAGTTTTGAGTCCAAGTTTTAATTTTGGTCTAGACCAGATTTAGTCCTATTCCGACTACCATAATTCAGTACATATGGTCTCAATATTTTGAACATAGCCTTGTGGTATACATTATGATGAGAGTTTAGAGTCTCACATGCAAATCATGTAATGAAAGGTTTATGAGAGCGCTGATAAAAATATATTGTTTTGTATTGAGATAGTCTTTAGCCATTTAGGTCATTCATAGGTCAGTAATGATTTTAAGATGTTGTCATATATCATACAGCTGTCTTCATTTCAACTCTGGCTTTACATGGAAGACATAAAACATTCACTATTGTATTCCTGAATAGATTAAGTAAGTTGAATGTTGGATCTTGGTTTTATTATGCTCCTTTCCTGCATTAGGGTTGTCAGAAGTATAGAAAAACAGATACTAATCAATAATAAAATTTGAACTGAAACTAGATACTTATTTGAACAAGTATTGATATGAAAACCAAATAATCCATCCATTTTCTTCCGCTTATCTGGGGCTGAGTCGTGGGGGCAGAAGTCTAAGCAGGGACTCCTAAACTTCCTTCACCCCGGACACTTCCTCCAGCTCCTCTCACGGGACCCCAAGGCGTTCCCAGGCCAGCAGAGAGACATAGTCCCTCCAGCATGTCCTGGGTCTTCCCCGGGGCCTCCTTCCGGTGGGACCTGCCCGGAACACCTCCCGAGGAAGGCGCCCAGGAAGCATCGGGAACAGATGCCCCAGCCACTTTAGCTGACTCCTCTCGACGTGGAGGAGAGCTCCTTCCGTGTGACGGAGCTCCTCACCCTATCTCTAAGGGTGCGTCTAGCCACCCTGCGGAGGAAACTCATTGTGGCCGTGTGTCTCCGCAATCTCGTCCTTTCGCACATTACTCAAAGCTCATGATCAGAGCTGAGGGGAGGAACATAGATTCATCAGTAAATCGAGAGCTTTACCTTTTGATTTGTCAACACTGCACCGATCCGCCTGTCAATCTCACGCACCATGCTCCCCTCACTCATGAACAAGACCCCGTGATACTTGAACCATGGCCTCGGACTGATCAGCTCCTCCAAAACCTCAAAAACCAAATAATATTACAAGATATTACAAGAATATTACTAAAACTGAACCTTTCCTGAATAGCTAGATTGATCTTGAGCTGTATCAGAACAAGTTTAAGACCGCTTTAACTAGTATACGCCCAAGGACCACTGTGGAAGACTTGGAGAACTAAGGGATTACACAGATATAACTCCGCACGGTAATATAAAAAGTATTACAATTTAATGTTGAAAATAAAACAAAATAACATTCTGTTGTCTAAAGAAAGAGTGGTATCAGAATCGGTACTGAATATTGAATATAAAGTTTGAAATTTAGTATCGTGCCAAAACTAACCTGCGTACCATCTCCTCTCCTCCCATGCAAACTCTCGGCAGTAAAAGCTCCATGTGGGACTCAAGCTGCTTCCAGATGTGCTGCTATAGGCCCAGCTAACAGCACATGTATATTTACAGGGCAAACCCAGGGCAACTTGTACATTAGTTGGACTCGGAGTGACCCCATTCCCAAGAGTCTGGGTCAATACAGTGGAAGTAAATGAAAGCAAATGTTTAGACAGGGTTTGGCCATCTGTTTACTTCTGGGATTGATTTTTGGCTAAGCTTGGTTTATTTAGTTCTGGTTTAGTTTATCACTGTCTGGATTTTGGTAACTTCTGAAATTAGTTTGGTGTTACATCTAATCCTGTCTTTTTCTGGTTATACTTCTCTACTTAAGTTCTGGTTTATATTATATGAGGCAATAATGGTTAGGTCTGGTTTAGTTCTGATTTTGATTTCCTCAAATTGTTATTATAGAGATTTTGTCATACAATTCCTGGTATTTGTTAACCACTATTTTGTATTGTCTTCTATTAGACTGTATTAGATTAAGTGGTTCTGACATCTTACTTACTGTCAGAATTACTGTTATAATTACTTATACTTTGAGGCCAGTTTTGTCATGATTGACTTGGTTTGGTCCTGTTCTAATCTCTGTTTAGTGTTGGTTTAGTCTAGATTTAGTTCTGGTTTAGTCCCAGTTTTGGTGAGGTAAATGTGCAGGTATGAGCGCACCCTTAGTCCTGCTGTAGACTTGGTTTGGTCCTATTCTAGTCACTGTTTTGTCCCAGTCTAGTCCAGATTTAGTCCTGGTTTAGTCCCAATTTTAATGTTGGTAAATGTGCAAGTATGAGCGCACCCTTAATCCTGCTGTAGACTTGGTTTGGTCCTGCTCTAGTCCAGGTTTTGTCCTTGTTTAGTCCCAGTTTTGATGTGGTGAATGTGAAAATGTGAGCACACCCTTAGTCCTGATGTAGACTTGGTTTGGTCCTGTTCTAGTCTAGATTTAGTCTTGGTTTCGTCCCAGTTTTGATGTGGTGAATTTAAAAGTGTGAGCGCAGTCTTAGTCCTGATGTAGACTTGGTTTGGTCCTGCTCTAGTCCCTGTTTTGTCCTGGTCAAGTTCAGATTTAGTCCTAGTTTAGACCCAGTTTTGATGTTGTGGATGTGAATGTGTGAGCACACCCTTCATCCTAATGTAGACTTGGTTTGGTCCTGTTCTAGTCCCTGTTTAGAGTTTATTTAGTCCAGATTTAGTCCTGGTTTAGTCCCAGTTTTGGTGTGATGAATGTGAAAGTGTGAGCACACCCTTAGTCCTGACGTAGACTTGGTTTGGTCCTGTTCTAGTCTTTGTTTAGAGTTGGTCTAGTCCAGGTTTTGTCCTGGTTTAGTCCCAGTTTTGATGTTGTTAATGTGAAAGTGTGCACCCTTAGTCCTGATGTTGACTTGGTTTGGTTCTGTTCTAGTCCAGGTTTAGTTTCTGGTTTAGTTCTAGTTTAGTCCCAATTTTGATGTGGTGAATGTGCAACTATAAATTCACTCTTACTCCTCTTAACCCTCTGTTGTCTTATTTTAGACAAAATGTATTGATCCACAATGGAAATTATTTGGACACAGTAGCTCACACATCACAATATAATATAAAAACAAAGAGCAAAAATATAAATGGTGATAATACATTCAAAATAAGTAGCAAAAATAACAAGAGACTGGTGTCAAATAAGACATAGTTATATAAATGTATAAGCCATAATTATATCAGTTTTGCCCTTGTTTATTGCAGTCCATTCTGTGTTTTTCTACTCCTGTTTTGATCTTGGTTTCATCTTATTTAGTCTTGATGCTTAGTTTGATCCTGTTCTAGTCCGGGTTCAGTCCAGATCCAGGCCCCTACATTAACACAATAGATGATAGACTCCTCTCTAGCTGCTCTCTTGAGTGGAAGTCAATAGAACCAAATGTTTGGGAAGTGCACTTAGCCTAATGCGGTTCCTGCTTGGGCAAACAGAGGTGCGTTAAGATGTCAGAGTGTTTGGGATGTAGTGATTGATGTTTTTCCTCTTTCTCCCTGTTTTCTTTCTAATGAGCAGCTGCAGACCATGGTGGACCTACTGGAAGGAACTCTCTACAGCATGGATATGCTAAAGGTCCACTCGTACATCAACAAAGTGATGTCCCAGATGAACACGCTGGAGGAGGTAAGGCCTGGCTGTGGAATAACAAAAGCCATTGATTATGTATATGTATTGATTATCTAAATGTATAGCGAGAAGTGGGTCTTTAAAGATTAGTATAATTCTCTAATTTTGACTTAAATTGGTGGGATTCTAGCTATTGAAAATATAAATCTATAAGCAATTTGCGAGGAAAAATATATTGAAAATTTAAGGAAGTAGAGTAAACACACTGCTGATATCGCACTAGGGAGAATTCTGTCCAAAAGTTTGGCACAATTTACACTAAGAAACATATTTTTTTTGATACTTGAAACATGATTTCAACAAAATAAAGGTGTTTTGTTATAGTTGTATTTATCAGATAATAATTTCTATGTACATTTGAGGAAAAAATGGCCAAACAAGTGTGAATGTTTTTGCAAAAATCTTAAAAACAATGATATTAACTGTGTTTAAGTATAATTAGTAGTCTGACCTGTCATAAGCACTTTTAAGTCTGTGTACACACTTGGCTGCGTTCTGTCTGATCCCGGTTACTCCTACTTTAGTCTTCATTTTGATGTGGCTGGTGGGTATTTATCACATTGTGGCGACTAAAATGAGGTCCCGCTGACGTAAATCTTTTATCATTAGATCAACAAAATAATTTGAAGTTCCTATATGAGTTAAATAAGATAATGATTGGCGGTTTAGGGTTATGGTCAGGATCAGTTGCCAAGAAACATGGAAGCCCAACATGTGTGTATGTGTACAAGTAATAATGCAGGCTTAAGGGGTATTTTGTACACAAGGAAAAAAGTATTACTTTATTAACAAGTAATGCCGAAGTTAAGACTACAGTTGTTTTATGTTTTTGTCTTTCTTATTCTGTAAAGCACTTTGAATTTGTGTATGACTATTGTGTACTACTACTACTACTACTACTACTACTACTACTACTACTACTACTACTGCTACTACTTGCTACTACTACTACTACTACTACTGCTACTACTACTACTGCTACTATTACTACTGCTACTACTACTACTACTATTACTACTACTATACTACTACTATACTACTACTACTACTACTACTACTACTACTATTACTACTACTACTACTACTACTACTATTACTACTACTACTACTACTACTATTACTACTGACTACTACTACTACTACTACTACTACTACTACTACTTACTACTATTACTACTACTACTATACTACTACTACTACTACTACTACTACTACTATTACTATTACTATTTCTACTACTACTATTATTACTATTACTCTTTCTACTACTACTACTACTACTACTACATCTAATATAATCACTGGTATTATGACTTCATAAGTATAGCAGTCACACCAAACTTTTAACAGCTTTTCTCGGTTCCAAAATATGTTTACCTTAAAACTTTGTTGATTATATTTTAGAAAATCCGTGTCTTACCAAAATGATGATATGACTGACTTTTCTCTTTTAGACAATCAAGACCAATCTGACGAGGGAGAATGAGTTTGTGCGTGACAGCATGCAGAGTCTCACCAACCAGTTCAAAAGATACGAGAACTACTCCAACATCATGATGAGCATCAAGAAGGAGCTGTCGGGCCTCAGTCTCCAGCTGCTGCAGAAGGACGAGAACAAAGCACAGGTAAATAATAAATACATCTATATCAGTTATAATACACATGGAAAACGTATAGAGACATGTTCAGACTACTCACCTTATTCTGGAAGTTGACGTGAGCTCCGCCATCATCATTCGAGTTGTATTATTTTGCTCCTGCTCTTGACAACAGATAAGATCAATATGGACTACAAACCCATTTCAAACCCCCCCAAGAGAATCAGAGAAGTTTTGACTTGTTGCTGCACATGAAAAATTTACATTTTACACAAATGAATCTACTTTATGTCATGTTTTAGCTAAATTCTCCATTGAAATGAATGAGATCCTCGTTTAACCAGAAGTGCGACCACAAGAAAGTGCAGTTTAGAAGCGTTCATGGTCGGGGCAGAATAATGTGAATCCTTAATTGTTATTTTAATGTGACCTTTATATTGGCCTGTTTAAAGTCAACCTTCCCTTAGCCAACTTTGGGACCTCAACTTACTAGACAGATAGATGGTCTTTCTTCAAGTGTGCCTAAAATAGCTGAATAAAAAAATGTTTACACTGATTATTTAAAAGCCAACCAAACATGGAAATCCTACCAGCAAATGTTGGAGATATATTTAGACATTTAAAGGGCCCATCTCATGCAAAATCAACTTTTCAGAGCTTTCTACCTTCTAAGAGTGATGTGCGGGCCTTGTGTATGTCGTCGAAGTGGTTTTTAGATTGATTCTGTGTTTTTTTTAAAAACAAATTGCAGCGTATTTCTTCCAACCTCCCATGTGACAATGAATTAAAGCTGCTACAATGATGAAGCAGCCAGCTACACCTATATCGCGTTTGACGTAGCAGAAAGCGCTCCGCACCTGCCGCCGTCACCTGCTCCACCGCCTCCACCCCGCATCGGCTGACACTTCCCACATGAACAACTAAACAAAAGCGACAGCATAAGCTAATTCTTATACACTGCAGTGCACATGATATAATAAGTTAATCTACTAGTGTTTATTAACTCTTTCCCCCTTGGACGCCTACTTGGAACAACCCATACATATATTAGTATGTGTGGGTTGTAGTGGCCCCCACCTATCACAGCATCTGATTACATGTGAAAAACCGAGCCAGTTGTAATGGTCGTCAAATCACGTCTTTAGTGATAAAGCGGAGGTGTCAAAAGACGTCATTAAGGAAACAAGGGGGGGTCGTCAGATGTCGTCTTCATGGGGGAAAGAGTTAATACTTTACCAATCAGTAATGTTCAGCTGATGTGGACGCGGTGCTTGAGCTTCGTGCACCTCAAAGTCCTCGTCTGATTCTGGGTCCAGCACATGTGGCTGAATGCGCTGTATTGCCATGATGAATAAAAGTTTATTCCTACGGCTATCAGGGCGCACGCCTGTCTCCCCCTCCCTCCCTGAGATGGGCGGAGGGAAGGGCGGCTCACTCAAAGCCTACGTCACGTTTGGAGGGCGGAGCCTGTGCTTTCTCAGGCCGGGGGGGGGGGGGGGGGGATGAGCAATAGCCGGACTTTCATAGTTCCTGGTCTGTGACTGACTCCAAGAAATCAGTAAGATTTCATAATTATTGTGTAATGGATGTTCCAAAACCCAAACTGTGCTTGTAAATGTGCAGAAGATACAATGTGAAAAGAGTTATTTTGCATGAGATGGGCCCTTTAACTTTTAAAATGTGATTTAGAGGAAGTTTTATTTCCATGGTTAGTGAACAAAATTTGCAAACTTTCTTTGGTGAAGTAGTGCTACATAAAACAATGAAATAATGTAGTAAAATATAAAATAAAACCAAATTAAAAGCTGTGGTATTAAATTTAAAAATATTCAAAAAGATTACAATATGGACAGAATAGTGCAAATTTCTCCTACACAAACCTGACATGAATCTAAATAAGGCAAGTTTCTTTTTTGTTTTGGTTTGTTTTCCAGGAGACTAATGATGAGAAATCCAAGGATGGTCTGAAGCTAAACAAAAAGACTCCAGTAGCAAAGCCGAATGCAAAAGCTCCTAAAGAAAAAGTCCTCAAGCCCAAGAAGGAGGTGATCAAACCTGCCAAACCACAGAAACCTGACCCCACAGCCAAAACCAAGGTCGGACACCAGCCAGGAGTGGTCCGGGGCATCACCTACTACAAGGCCACTAAGACTGACGAGGATGAGCGCAGAGAAGGTGAGAGCGCCACCTACTGGTTTAGTGTAGTTTGTATTGTGTGATTTCCTTTTTTGTAGAGTGAATGAAGGTAAGGTTTGGCAATAAAGCGAACGATATATGATATGTGATGTTGTGGTGCTAAGATGTTGGTGTGTAACTTGATGGCATATTTGTTGGTATGATTTATGGTCATGTCTCCGCCTGGTTAGTTTTGGTCTAAAACTAATTTGGTTGTGGTTTCATCCTACTTTAAAGGGCGTGACAAGATGTTTTTAGCTAAATTCTTGCCTCTGTCTTTCCTGTATTATTATATTTTATTATATTTCCTATATATATTTTAAGTTAAAAGCTCCTTTAACCTATTTAGAACCATTATATTTTAGTTCTGGTTTATGTTCCTGGCAGATTGGTCTTTGTCCACTAAATGGTCCTAGTTCAGACCTAGTCCAATTCTGATTTATTCAAGTCTCGCCTTGTCTGTCGTCTGATATATAGTAATTATCAAAAAAAAAAATCAAAACATATCATTCTACAAAAGCAGTGATGCCCAGACTTTCTTATGTGTTGCACATTATTGGCACCAAATTTGAAAAAGTTTGTAGTTTAGTACAGTGTGTCAATTATCTTTTCAAATCTGTCAACACAGAGGAAATTGTTTTTCCATTGGTAAACTGGAACTCTTTTATTGACAAAATACATTTGTTTGGTGTACGTCTCAGCAGTGTCTTGCCTCTTACATACCTTTACTTCAATCAAAAGGTTCCTCTAATGCTTTTGGGTGTGTAGCTCTTATGAATAGCTGTCTTAATCTTTTGAACACAGTGCTGTCAGGTTACATGTTCTGCCCCACACGTGAACCAGCTTAGAGGATTTTTGCACCTCTACAAACTTCGAAAACATCTGGCTGCATTTCCATAATCCTCAGGCAAGTGCAAGGAGACTCCTTTTATCAGAGCCGTCAGTCCGACTCCTAACCTGCAGGTCACCCACAAAGCCTGGCTTGAGTTAAATGTACTGCGAGGTGGCTATTGTAAAATATCCCTGCATGTAGACCACAGCATTTGTTCTGGTCTACATGAAAATTGCAAATGACGTTTGTCTAGTCACAGATTAATATAATTCTTGACACCCAATCAAACCTCTGTAATTGCACCTAAAACCAGTCTGCCCACCCAAATTCAGTAGGCTACAACCAGGCCTGATATGGACCATCATTTTTTGAAAAAGAGGAAATATTTTGGTATTTTTTCTTAAAAACCTACAGATACAGATATGTTTAATGTCATACCATGGAACATTCTAAGCAAAGCAGTAATATCTCCATGGAGATATTGTAGCATCTTTAAAGTGTAAATGTCAGGACATAATTTTATGCAAAGGTGTTCATGCAAGTTTGAAAGACAAAACATTAAATAAAGCACTCATTTTGGCATTTTAAAAGAAAAGACTCATATTCACATCTGAAGGAGTGGTGCAAGAAACATAAATGTTTAAATCATTTCATATCCATCAAAACCTTTACTAAAGCAAGAGGACTGTTACTTCAATAAAAAAAATATGATTCAGTATGTTGCTAAAAAAATACTCTGAAAGGTACAACTTCTTCCAAATGTTGCTCAAGTAAATATAATTGAATACATGTAACTGAGTACTACCCACCTCTGCTCCAGACCCCATGAAACACCTGCCTTAAATGTATTTTGTACTGAAAATGTGTCGTTAACAAATGTTAGGGTTTTTTCCAGTGTTGTATGAACATCTCACAACAAAAAGTTTGAAGTTATCACTAGAAGAATAGAAGGTAGTCTCAAGGAGGTGGCAGACACTACATCAGCAAAGTAACATAGTGCACCTTTAAGCAGTGTGGTTGAGGGTTCCATTTTTGAACCAGCCATCTGGCCATAAATTGGACATATGTTTAGCGCATATATTTGATGGACAGTGCATGTGTGAGAATTAGTGTTACACCGGACTGAAGCTGTACATCTGGGAACACAGCAGTGGATGTGCAATCCTACTCCTCAGTCTTTTTTAATACCATAATGTAGACACGCAACCACACAAAGGCAAACCAAAAACGTAATAGATTTAGTAATTGTTTTCAGAGATCGAACCAGGTCAAACGCCTGTCCGCCATTACTGGAAGTGTGAGCAGAGATTTTACTTAGAGACAAGCGAAGTTTATTTGTTTAGCACAGTTCATACAGAAAATAATTCGACGTGTTTCACAGAATAAGTCCTACATTAAAAAAGAATACATTGATTAATTCATACTTTTATAATGATTATTTATTTATTTAATTATCTATATTTTTGTTCTCCTTTGGGTCAGTTCTTGTTTAGAACTAGATCATTGCACTTGTGTAGTCTAACTTTAGACCTGGTTCGGTTCCACTTTAGACCTGTAGTCCTGTTTTAGACCTGTTAAATTTGTGAGATAGACTTTATTGGAGACCTAGGATAAACTTAAAAAAAAAAACAAAAGATGAATGAATATTGAACACAGCCGTGTCAGTTTATATAATAACTCCTTTGAACTTTACGTACGAAAATACAATAAAAATGTGCTCCCCATATGTATGCATTCTCGAGAGCCGCCATTGTTTTTTGACTTTTGACACATTTATGGCCAGACTGTGTGCTGTGTGCGAGTCACTCTCATCCCCAAGTCCCATTCACACTCTATAAAACTTGAATAGCTCTCTTAAGCCCTCCTGTTAATTTCATCCTCGGCAGTTGTTTCTCATCAGGTCCACATGTAGACACTGGGACGTGGTAGTATAGATGCGCAGATGAAGCATGTGTTTGGCAGGAGGAGACGTGGCAGCCCCTCACAGACTGACAGCAGCGTTGTCTGTTTCATGTGTAATCCTAGTTCACTGTCATTTCTATTTCCGTGGAAAGCAGAGCAGAAACATGACTTGTTACGTAAATTCAATGAAGTGGTGTAATAATCGTGAGCCTGTTCAAAGAAGTTCTGATTGTTTCGTGTATGGATGTGTTTTACAGAGAAATGCAGTTACCGAAACTTTTTTGAATTAAGGGCTGGGGTAAGAATGAAGCTTGGACAGTGGATCGAGCCCGTCGACAGAAATTTGAGGACCCGGGGCAAGAAGACTCACATGTGCCCCCCTCTAATATTAATTACTAGGGAGAGATTCCAGTTCCCCCCCCCGGAATAATAGACCTCTTTGCCCCCCCTCGACTCCTCTGAGTATAGACATGTATTTGCATAAAGTGTTAAAAGTAGGGATGCACCGATATGATGCTGTCGATATTGAACATTTTCATGGATCGGTTCTACGATATTGGTTCAGTCAGTATTCCCACTTAGGACTATAAATTGGTGTAATAAAACAATATACTGGACAATGTAAGCCTAAAACACCTCATATTTTTTTGTTGTTTGTCAAAGTTTTGTCAAAGTTTTGTATTTACATTAAAGGTGCACTATGTAACTTTTTGTTTGGTTGCCTGGAATGTTCTACAGTATGACATTAAGCAGCTATACCCTGCATTTATTCAATTACAGGTGGAAAAATACAGAGAAAAAATGGGATTCTGACTGTGAGCATGGTTGAGTCTCCACAGATCTGACCTGTAACTTGGTCTGATTTCGTCTCCATGAAGATTGAAGGGTAATACCATACTGTGAAACATTCCATACAAAGCAATGGCATTTCCATGGAGAAAAGCACCACAAAAGTTACACAATGCACCTATAAATGACAAATAACAGTGACAAAAAACATTGATGTTTTTTTTTTTTTTAACCAAAAGCTGTTTGTGTTTGAAGAAAATAAATTATGTTTTTGGCCTCTGCTCTGGTATGGGTTGATATCGGGGATCAGCAGATACTAAAAGCAAAAGTATCAATATTGGTATCGAAACAGAAAAAGCTGGATAGAAGCATCCATAGTTGAAATAACAACTTAGTTATTTTGATTTAAGGGTCTTTATCAACAATTTTAGGAATTATCAGGTGGAATGGAGCTTGGACAGTGGAGACGTGTAGTTACTTAAAGAGTTAAACATAGGGATGCACTGATACGATGATGGTATGAGATATCAGCGCCAATATTGAACATTTTGGTGGATCAGATCAGATATTGGTTTTCGTGTTGGCCTATAAATTGGTAAAATAAGACAGATTTACCAGCTGCTCTTTACTAAACACTTTTGGATATTTTTTTTATCTTATGCTACTTGTGTTTAAAGGAAATTAATTATATTTCCAGTCTCTGCCCTAGTATCAGTTGATATTGGTATCAGTAGATTAAAGTCAAGTGTTGAGAAAAAACAGGATAGCTGCAACCCTAGTTAAAAGTCTGTGATCTAAACATGCACTGTGTAACGTTTCTGGTTATGGATCCACCACTTGTTGTAGAAATGTTACTGCTTTGCCAAGAATGTTCCACGGGATGCATTTTTAATATATATCAATTAGAGGTGTTTGGAAGAAATGCATTCTCACTGTGAGCAGGGTCGCCTCTCCACAGATCTGATAGATAAGTCCAATGCAACACCGTGGAGCATTCCAAGCAAAGCCATAACATCTCCATGGAAACAACCAGAGACTCTCCAACAGAAAAGCCACATTTTTATGCCACAGTTTTATGTTTAAGATATTCAAGTGCCTGTGGGCGAGTTCGCTATGATGCAAACGTGTACCTGAGATTGTGAAATTTCAGTAGAGAGTAAAGCTTTTAAAACATGGCAACCCAATCTCTCTCTTCTCTTCTAAAGCCTTGACACTGCGTATGACTCTTAGCACGAGCCAAGCTTCATTCAAGTCAGATGAAGACAGAGGAAGCGGCTATTTTCCTTGCACTGCATTGCTAATGTGTGGTCTTTGATGTGAGCTTCTACAGCAAAGTTAAAATATGTCTCCTGCTGTCACCGGGGATCATGGAGAGGACTGAACAAAATGAATGCACTGAAATACGAGACAGACGGTATCTAAGATCAACACAGGGCATCAGCTGGAGCTCTGTCTGACCTGATCATGGACACTCATCAATGTGTTTGAACGTTCTACTTGTTTAATCTGTTTTGTATCCAGGACTTTTGATAAGAATCACAGCGGGAAGCCCTAAAAACTCAGCTTCAAATAACTGCATCTCATTTTTGTCTGTTTCTTTATTTGTGTTTTGTCTGTTTGAACTGTGTGCAGAGTCTTTGAGTGCCAAGAAAAACGCTATACAAGTGTTATGCATTATTATATTTTTGTTTTTCTGACGATACTAATTAGATGTGTGTTCAAATCGATTCACTTTTAAAAACGATTTGTTGACAGTTGGCATTTTAAATTTCTTTTCTAGTGGAACCTACCAGGATGAGTGAGGGATTACACAGAGACCCAATCACATACGCATTTATTATACCCACTGTACCCACCCAGACTTTCTGAATCCCGCGGTTTGAATCCCGCTCTCTAGAAAACCATCATTGGTTGAAGCCTGACATACAGATTGGCTGGTGTGATTCTACGTCCCACAGATGAATGCTGTCGTTGTGTCCTCGGGCAAGACATTTAACCCACCTCACCCCCAGTGTCTGTGTACATTACTGTATGAATGTGTGCGTGAGTGATTCCTTGATATAAAGTGCTTTGAGTGCCCTGAAGGTGGAAAAGTGCGTATAAAAATGTGACATTTACATTCTTTTTGTTTTGTTTTATATAATGTTATTGCACTTTTTGCACAAATGAAAAATGAAAAAGAAACAAATTCTGTAAATATGTTTTTAACTTACATGGTGTTGCTTTAAATATATACATTTCTATTATTTCATATGTTCCCAGAAGTGTTTCCTAATTGGATTATTTTATGAGAATAAAATATCTTCTTTGGATATTGGTCATACAAGTTAAATATGTAACCATGGTTGTGTGATTTTTGGTGGTCAAAAAGGCCATTTGCACATATAGGTGGTCATATCTACAGTTTATCCCAGTCAAGTGGTTGAAAAAGCAACTTAACAATATGTTTTTTTAAAGATGTCCCTGCTCTTGTTTCTTTAGAGAACTCTGGCAAATCCTACACAGTGCACCACCATGTGAAGGAGACCCAGTCCGAGGACGGAGGATCTGAGATGGTCCTAGAGACTCTGGAGGCCACCGAGGAACCTGAAGCTCCTCCCACCACTGAAGCACCTACCACCACGGTCTCCACAACAACCAGCACCACCACTACTACAGAAACAACCACTACTATGGCAACCACCACAGTTCCCACAACAACAACCAGCCAGACATCCTCATCCCCTGAGAAACCAGCGCCCACCATCGTCCTGCTGCTGGACAACTCCAACAACAACAGCCGGCCCAGTCTGCACAGAGCAGGTACACAACACTTACAGTATGTGAGACCTCTGCACTTCATGTGGTGGCCACATCAGCTTGTCAAAACCTGATTTCATCAGATCTCAGAAGCTAAACATGGCCGGACCTGGTTAGTACTTGGATGTGAGACCGCTGAGAAAGTCAGGTGCCACAGGGGGGCACTAGTCACAAAATCTGCTGTTGTGTCCTTAGGCAAGGCAGTTCACCCACATTGCCTAGTATAAAAATGCATCCAGTATGCATTAGGGTGAATGCATATTGGAGTTTTCAAATGTTGATATATAAATGTTACCTGATGTTTGTTAAATCCCTCAGTAGTCCAGGTAGGATCCATAACAAAGGTTGCTGTATACCTGATGCGTCATAAAAAATAAAACATTTGATGTGATTGTAGGTAAAATCATGAACTGTGAGGGCACGCTGGCCTCCATAGAACAGCCTGAGAAGCACCACAGCTATGGCCGAAACGAGGGCGCATGGATGAAGGACCCGCTGGCCAAAGATTCCAAAATCTACGTCACCAACTATTATTATGGCAACAATCTGGTGGAGTTCAGAAACCTGGACAACTTTAAACAAGGTGGGTTATTCTGCTGCTGAAATGTGCAAACACTATTTGCTGTTTTTAGTCAATTGGTTTGCTTACTCACCAAACTGTGACTCTCAGCTCTGCAGTACATGATAATATTGACCAAGGTCCAGTCATAGCAACTTGGAACAACACATTTAGTGCATTGAGTGGATGAAAGACTGCGCTGTTGAGTACTTTTACAATTGAGTATCATGATGTTTCAGATGACATCACAATATTTTATAGAGCAATAATATTTATTACAGATGCAATAGGGTCTAGTAGTCACTAATTAAGTAAAATTTTCAGTTTCAGCATTTCTTAGTTACTCATCAGTGTGAGTTGGGAAAACTGGCTCTTTTCAGGACCATGACATCATCACATTCTACAACCTGAGAACTGCCAATTACTCAACTAGAAATAAATTAGTTTGAGTACTTCGACTTCGGTGGTCAGATTGGTCCAGGATATTTTTCCACTATAAAAGATTAGGTAACTACTTGCTGGGCATTAGACAAAGAAGGTAACTGCTTGGAGCCCCCTAAGTACCAGGGCCCCCAGAAACTGTTAGTACTGCAATTTCACCCTATATGGCCACAGAAAAGAGGCATGTACCAGTAGACAAGGTTCATTTCTGATACAGTAACTTAATCTAACGTATATTGGGCTAGAATAAATAAGTTAGACATGTCCTTGTTTCGTCAGTGCTATATTTGTTTTGTGCGGTGAAATCAGGTTTGAGGACCCACTGCGATGTTCAGTAGGCCATACCAAAAGACCTTGCAGCATCCCTGACTGTAGCCTGGATTAGTCATGCTATTGTCTAAACATATGCTTTGAAAAGAAATACCAATAAGCAAGCAATTTTTCTCACATTTACTTCAAAAACGTGTCAGAATTACCGTAAAAGCTTGAAACTTTCCTAGTGATACACCAAAAACGCGCATTTACAGTATTAACTACAGACAATAGACTTCTTCGACATTTTATTGCTTCAACTGTATAACCAAAATAACCTTCAAAGCTTATGCTATTACAAGGGAAGTACTTAAATTAACGGTTCAATGTACGTACGCAGACATCGTTCTAAAGTGGACCCAGTATCACTTAATAATAATTGGACTAAACTGTTTGACTTGGCGCTGGCTGATTCTCCCGTGGCATGACTGATGCTAATTGGTGGTGAGTGATTGGAGCTCTTGGGGGCTGTGGTGGAGAGAGGGAGAAGCGAGCCGTGGAGAGAGGAAAAACTAACTCCAGACCAATATTTCCCAAACACAAATCAACAGAGACATTTCATTTCTCTGCGGAACGAGAGTACCGTGATCCTTATGCTCGAACAGGCTTTAGGTCGTATTTATTCAATTCTGCTTTAAGTATTACCGGACGGTTATCAATAAAATGGTAGCTATAAACGGACACAAGAGGGAATGGCTGTCCGTTCTTGTACCTGTAATCTTTCACATTGTAGCATGAAATATATCTTTGGTTTTTCACTTTCTTTTTCCTTGGAATCCTGCACGTTAAATAAAAAATGTAAAAATCACCAACTTTGCTTGCTTACGTTGCTTGCCCCTACGTAGTTGTTATGATAGGATGATCATAAATGTTCATGTTTTTACAGTATTGATACTTCGCAGCTGATATCATCAACATTCCCTGGGGGTGTGATGCTAACTGTAGGCTCTGTTCTGTCTGAGGCTTTGTTAGACTTAAATCCAAGCTTTATTTTAACACAATCTGACCAAACAGAACTGACGTAGCTGGAACAACAACGGATGAGATGATCTGTGCGCTTAAACAAGTCTGTCGCACATAAAATTACAGTCACCAGCTACCGTTGGCCAGCTGTTTTTCAGTTAGTCACTCTCATCTTGCTTGAACACTCGTACTGATCAGTTAAAATCAGTTGTTTAAATCCATCTCATATAAATAAAGTATCAATATTCGTTTTCCATTATACAGGGAGTCATGTTACTATGTGTAAGTTTGTATGATTTTTAGCCCTTGTTTTATTATTTGTACATTTTTAGTTCTTTTTGTCCATACTTTTTATTGTGTTATGTTGAGTTAACACAAGTTGGGCACACTCATACATCCAAATGTTTAGAATTGCTTATTTTACAGGCTCAAAGAATGTCCTCTTAAATGGGACATTCTTAGAGTAAAAAAGACAGTTTAGATACATAATAGTTCTGGATACATGGATAGTTTTTGTAGATATTAGAAACGCTTGGACTCAGAGCAAATGATAATGTTTTTACAACACCAGGCTGTGTCCACTCTGGCTTCACGCAGCACTAACATGGTTTATTTAGCCTGCTACTGAAAAAACAGATTGTATATGTTTTGTGCCATTTTCTGGTCACTAATATTATTCTCTCAGGAAGTTAGATTTCGATACCGATAAGAGTTTAAAGCTTTGGGGTTGCACTAAAACAACTATCTGCGTGTACCCCTCCTCCACCTCATCGCTCTACGTCCCACAATGCACCACCAAACCCCCAAAATCCGGCCTTGTGGCTTAATCCCTGTCTGTTGTGCCTGGTTCAAAGCAAAGGCCAGAGCACATGTCAGAGAATAGAGATACCAAGTCAACTGCACGCAGCCGGGAGCTAGCCACACGGCACAGCTCCTCACATTCAAGTGCAATGAAACAGCCCATTGTCCCAAAGGATCAAGATCAACAAGACATGTGCAACAGACCCAGCAGACCTCATCTTAAATCTTGTGTAATTATGCATGCTGTTTTTTTTTTTTTTTTAATAGTTAGGGTTTTAGCATTGTTATTTTTAACCCTAAAAAATGTGTTTTACTCTAATGTACAGTCGTCGATTACAAAATCCTAAGGGAGAAATTCATCACCATTTAAAACTCAAAATCTGATGAAAGAAATTAGCTTCCATAGATAACAGTAGTTCCCTTAATTGTGACCGCTGGCAGATACCACTAAAAATGTCACATTCACAGGACAAATAAACCTTTCTTGCTTTAGGTCCCATCCACACTAGTATGTACTCGAGTCATTTCGTTGCGGCTGCAGTGTTCGTCCACACTAATCTGATGGAAAACGGCTCCAGAGACGGGACGATGTGCTGTCAGCTCCCACAAATTCATCTTAGTACAGATCTTATCTGGCACTTTGTGGACACCTGAAAATGCTGATACACTGATGTAGATCTATGCACCGCGAAGTAATTCATTGTCAAAATGCTAAGAGGCTAGAATAAATGTTCATTCATAAATACGATCTACGTGTATGACCTACAGACATATAATCTCTGAAAAATTTAAAATGAATCATCTCCAACACGATAGAAGCACAGAACAGACTCACCATCAGCAGAACACCCTTCTGTCACAGAAAGAACACTCATACTCCACTGTGTCCGTGTTTTTGAGTCCGACAGAACCTGAACCGCATCAGTGCACAATAGTGAGCATTTTTTTGAGCACGGTTTTATGCAAATTAGCCATGCGGTTTTAAGTTTTGTTTCTGTAAAACGTAAACAAATATGCGCAAGGCTGTGTGGATAGGGAAGGCTTGCGGACACAGAAATGATGTGTCTGGACGCAAATCATTTCCGATATGGTGACACAGTGATAAGGTGATTCATTTCAGTGTAAACATAGCCTTGGAATGATCTTGAGCTGTATCAGAACAAGTATAAGAGCACCACATAGACTAGTATACACCCATGGACCACTATCTGGACGACTGAAGGATTACATGGATATAAAGACACATGGTCATATAAAAGAAATGAATAAGATTTAATGTTGAAAATGACATTTTATTCCCTACATAAATAGTGTTTTTAATTATCATTGTGGTATCAAAATTGGTATTGGGTCTATTCCTTAGTATAGTAATTGAGTTTGAAACTGTAGTATTGTGACATCACCATAGAATCCTGAGAGGGAGACTAAATGCCAGATTGCTCAAATATGCATGAATGAAACAAAACACATTTCCAGGCCTAACATGGCTCAAAAAATGTATTTATCAAAGCGGAAAGAATTAAACTGATTAATATCACAACAAGTGACCACAACTCCAAAATATTGGAATTTACAAGAACATTGCTAGTTTTGCTCCAGTTGGGTCATTGCCTTCATGTTTAAATGGTCCAGCTCAAAACCCCAACAGACTTTTACTTGAGTCTAATGCACTGTGATTCAACTTGTGCCAAACACTACAAAGGTCTAAGGTGGACTACATCCAGGGGGAAAAAAATAACATGACTGAACTTGACTGCATCACATTCTTATCAGTGTTCATTTGTTTTTCTTAAAATGAGATTGAAAATAGTAATGAGTGATATGATAAGAAAATACAAATACTGGCCTGTCTGACCCAGGTTTAATCTACTAATCTATCTTTCTGGAGTGGATTAAGAGCATGAGTCATCTCTGGAAGATGAAAAGGGAATAAGAAACCACTATGAATTAATTCATCAAAATTAGTCATTGTGTATTGCTTTAACATTGTATAAATTCATAATAAGAATAAAGTATTCATTGGGTTGCATTGGCTTCTCACTCTTTGATGATATTGTCTATGATGAACCTCATCATAGGCCCATAGTTCTTGGTACATTGACACATTAACCACATTTCGATACTAAATAACAGACTTGATACCAATTTTCATATTAAAATGATTTTATAAGCCCTTTTTTAGATATATATATTGTATTTTTCAGGAAAAGTAAAATTCGAACCAGTTATTTTCTTTTCAGTGTTTATACTTTCTTCCAAGCTTGATCCTTTCCTATCTGATCAATAACAGTGTTCTATTGTGTGTGTCCCAGGTCGCTGGAGTAACCTCTTCAAATTGCCCTACAACTGGATAGGAACTGGCCATGTTGTCTACAATGGAGCTTTCTATTACAACCGCGCCTTTACCAAAAACATAATCAAGTACGACTTGAGAATGCGCTATGTGGCTGCCTGGACCCTGCTTCATGATGTAGTTTACGAGGACACCACCCCTTGGAAGTGGAGGGGTCATTCGGACATTGACTTTGCTGTTGATGAAAGCGGTTTGTGGGTCATTTACCCCTCTGTGGACTACGACTACAGCCAGCAGGAGATGATTGTAATCAGCAAATTGGACCCAGGGGACTTGTCTCTAAAGAAGGAGACAACATGGAGGACGGGCCTGAAAAGGAACTCCTATGGAAACTGCTTTATCATCTGTGGCGTTTTGTATGCTGTGGATGTGTACAATCAAAAGGATGGAGAGTTGAACTATGCCTATGACACTCACACTAATACGGACGCTATCCCAAGACTGCCTTTCACAAACGAATATGCTTACACCACTCAAATCGACTACAACCCGAAAGAGAAGGTGCTATATGCCTGGGACAATGGACATCAGGTGACGTATAAGGTGAACTTCCTTGAACAAGAGGGAGTATAGTGGACAACCTTGTCTGGTGGCAGCCATGTTGGACTGAACATCTTGGACAATGGATGAACCTCCTCCAGCCTTCAATTGCATGCTATTTGAACTCGTGACCTCAAAGCCAACATGCATATCTCAAACATGCAGTGTATTTCGGATCATAATGGGTTATTGTGGGAATAAGCTCATAGGTTGAGGTAAGGGTTAAGAGGAAGAGTTATATGTATAAGAGTGGGTATGTTTGATTCAGTTTCAAAATTCTGTAAGATTTTTTGTATTTATTTACTTTTTTAGTTTGGTGAACCCACTGCAGCTCCTAAAGAGTAGTTGGGAAAATAAAAGTTTGTGAAAGTGCTTAGTTTGTTTATTGTTATGTTACTAATATCTAAACCATGCACAATAGTGTAATATTCCAGTGAGAAACATCTGTTCTGTTGAAAGAGGACTTTAATGCTTATTTACCCACTAAAACAAATATGTATGAAATTCAACAATGGAATAGCAAGAAACTAAATTGCATTTTCGCCACATCTTACATCCTAAACGATTGATCCAGCTCTTCCTCCTGAAGTCTTACCTTTACCTATTTTTCTAAGACAAATCTGTCTTTGTAATGAAATTAACTGAAAGTTTGTTTATCAATCCATCCTTTCACCAAGCACTTTTTGTTTAGCTTTTTGTTGTACCGGCCTCAAAATAGTTTTTGTGTTAACAATGTGTTACTTAAAATATGACTTCCCAGAATAATACACATGCTTGTGCTGTATTTTGTCAATTTTACATTTTTCTGTAACCCTGAATTTACACCTGGAGCTGCAGCAACACGTAATGTAGACAAAGGTCAATTTACAGCGGAGGCAAAAGAGCTGCTCCTGCAACACTAGCCTCTGTATATTCTCATGTTTAAACACCAAACTGCTTTATATTGCTTAAGTATTCATTGTTCATCAGATGAATCACTTTTAAAACTATACAAAGTTATTGAGAGGGATGATGCTTTACAGAGCAGTAACAAGCTGTGGCTGTGGTGCTTACATTAAGTAGTTACTTACCATCGAAGTTTAGTTGTCTGCACCACACTCCTGCTATTTGTCATAAAATGTTTTATATTTCTGGATGGTACGGTGTTTATGCAACTGTAGTAGTTTTAGGGAATTTCCTGTCTTGCCCCTGCTAAAAAACCTCAAGATGCTCAGTTGATGCTGAAAAATTAGAACGTCAGCCTGTAGCATAATTACGCCTGTTGGACGTGTGTATAACACTGCTGGTAAAGATTTTCCGACTGGTTCAAATGAAAATCGAGTCCTGTGTGTATGCTGTGCTGCTGTGCTTACGCGCTGTTGCTGCTTTGGTGTAAATTGGGGTAAATTTTAAGTTTTGTAAGAAAGCCATGTGTGTTGTTAAAATACCACTATTTGTCCTAGTTTGTAAGATTCTGTACATTTTTTGTCAACTGTATTTCAAAATGTTTGCAAATAATAAAGACATCTGTTATATTAAATAAAATTCTGATGAAAAGTCTATTTTGAGTCTTGTTTTATGTTTCTCAGACCTATTTGTATAATGTCATTATTTAGTACTTCTGAGTTCCATTCACACAAACCCTGCATATTTATCTTGAGAGACCAGAGCGCGGTCTGAACATGTTCAAAGGAGGGAGAGTGAATTTATAGGTAGAATGCTTAAAGCTGTCAGATAGGAAGCCTCAAGGTAGACCAAAGAGAAGGTCCAGAATTTGAACCAGATCTTTGTTGAAAGTACAGCCCACTAAAAACATCACACTAGCTGTAGGACTTTGGTAGTTTGGCTTAATTGACCAAAAATGGTATTTGTTGATTAGTCATTTTATTTAGATTATGAGGATTTATATGGGATTTATATTTATATTAGTTTTTTAAATATTTGAATTTAAAAAAAAAAATGCAGTTTGGCTCAAATACTTTAGCCATGCCTCCTTTTTAGTTAACTTATCAATCATCAGGGCATGTCTTTATTTCACCAAATATTTCTTTAGTCGACTACACCTTTAGATCTCCACCCTGGACCTTTGTGGAGTGTATTTATTTATGAATTAGGATCTCTATTAGATGTACCCGAGAGTTAGTTTACAGTTTTAAGTTCATAAAGACAATGATATAAATAGTATATATAGTATTACTTCATTGCTGTGAGGCAAGAAAGATGAGCACTATGAATCAGTTTTCGATGTGTAAGCATGTTCAACAATTTACACAGCTCATTTTACTCTGTTTTGTGTGCTGAACATATGACTCATAGATTTTGACAGGGCTCTCATGAGTTTGAGGTTAAAGGTGGCCATGTTTTGTCTCGTTCCCAAAGTACTGAGAGAGGAGCAGTGCGGGGTCGTGGTACTGGGGCACGGCTGTCTGATTTCTTGGCTCTGGTTAAAATACTGGTTCTCTGAGGGGGGATGACTGATATAAACCGTCTGCTGAAAGGTGGGTGTGCCTGGGCTATGCATGTGGACCTCATATAAGGGAAATATCATCTATTTTTTAGGCAATCTGGGTGTTTATCTCAATAACTAGAGCATGGATGGCAAGAAGGATTTTTATAATGGAAAATTAGGGATGGAAGACAAATACAGATGGTTAGGTAGATAGATACTTTATTGATCCCAAAGGAAATTCAAAGTTCGGTGGCAACAACATAGAAACAAACATAGCAACATAGCAAAGATATTTAAAGTTAGCAGTCTATCCTCTGACATCTTTCATGAAGCTTCCTCCCATGGCGCTGAAGAAGACACTGAAGATAAATGTCTTTGAGAAAGCACAGCCTGCTCTGTCCCTTTGCGTAGAGCAGGTCTGTATTCGCATACCAGTCCAGACTGTGGTCGAGCTGTAGGCCCAAATACTTAAATACTCTCTACAACCTTCACAGTGTCCCTCAGTGGTCACAGGTTGCAGCTGTGGCCTGCTTCTCCACATGCACATATTATATTCTGCTACTATTACTAAAAGTACAATACAACATTTCTATATTTGTCTTGTGCTTGTGTTACATCACTAGCCTGATTCATCAGCAGGTTTCATGTAGTTGAAACCTCGCAGCGTTAGAATTTGTTCACTCGACGGTAGGCGGGTAATTTTTTGATTTAACCAATCGCTGTGATTTGGTCGTGACGTATGTAATGATCCAAATCCTGTAAGAAGAAGAGCAATAACGTCTTTCCTCTTGAGAAAATTCACAAAACATTCTCTTTGTTCCGGCTTTAAATCATTGGTCTCTGCAATCGTTGACAACGCAGAATGTCTGGCTTCATCTACATCCATCTCGACCGTTTTGTTTACTGTTGTGTTGTACCACAAAAGGGACCCAGACAGGAGCTTGAGTTTGACTTCCAGGGTTCTTGCAAACCGTCTAGTGTATTCCGATTTCTGAGATAGTCACTGGAGAGAAATGAAATTGACCAGACGCAGTAGGTGGCACCAGCCTGGCTATTACGTCACAGCCAGTGGGACAAAAACAGAAGCTTTGAATGTTTGGCAAGTTGGTGTGATAAGAAATTATGCTTTCAGTGACTGTCACAATTGAAACAGAACTGGGTGTAAACCTGGTCCCTGTGATTGAAGTGTGGTGGGTTGAATCTCCCAGATGGCAATAACCAGCATGCTTCTTTGCCCCCCCGTACGGTCGGTTGTTTAGCAGACTTAAGTGTTCTCTGTGCAGGTACATGTAGTGACTGACATTAGCCTGAATTTGAAGGAAATGCTTATTAGCAACGTCCAAACAGACATGATGAGAACAAGCAATCAGGAACTGTGCCATTGAGATGTAATCAAACCATTTTTTATACAGGCCTTAATAGTGCTAATGTTTTGAGCACACTCTTTACACAAGTGTTATTCTTTCCTGTATCCTCTTTATGTTTATTTGTAGAACAATCTTTCAAACACTGTCATTTGGGAGTCAGCCACACACTGCACGATGTAAGTGATTTAACCATTATCCAAAGGTATGTGCCCCCTTTAACGAAGTTGTGTAGGCAATTTCTATGATTAAAATTTAACTCTTTGCATGTGTTTTTGTTAAGTTAACGCTGCTGAGTTAGAAATCGTAAAAGGAGGAAGTAGGTAAACTGTAACCCAAGGGAACTCACTTATTCTTCGTTCTCACAAACTATGGCACAGCACTAGCAGTGCTGGGAAGGTTACTTTTAAAACGTATTCCCCTACAGATTACATACCCCAAAATGTAGTTTGTAACGTAATCCATTAAGTTACTTAAAGTGAGTAACGTAATCTGAATATTTTGAACTACTTGATATTGTCATGCTTTTTAAAACTACATGAATGTAGCAATCACATCCTGAAAATTTTTGTTAGTTCTCTTCAAATTGGCTGTTGAGCCCAAGTCTCCATGAACAGGCATTTGTTTGCTTTAGAGAAGCAAAGACTACGATATCTGAACATAAGATGTTTTGTCTGCTTAAAGACAATAAAAAGCCCAGTCTTTCCTTAACCAGATTAAAAATATTATTGATAGAGAAATGCTCTCTATACGAGATCACTGCTGCCTTAAATTATGTTCACCCTACTGTTAGGTGTCATATTGTTTAGACCTGGTTTAGTCCTGGTTTAGTGCTGCTTTTAGACCTGGTTTAGACCTGGTTTTAGTTTAGTGCTGCTTTTAGACCTGGTTTAGACCTGGTTTTAGTTCTGGTTTTAGTTCTAGTTTAGTCCTGGTTTAGTCCTGGTTTTAGTCCTGGTTTAGCCCAAAATGTGAAAACAGGAAAATACCGCCATGTAATCCATTTATTTTAACAAAGTAACTGTAATCCAATTACCACTCATTGAAACAGTAACTGTAACTGAATACAGTTACTCATAATTTGTACTCTGATTACGTAATGCTGGTATATGTAATCTGTTACTCCCCAACACTGAGCACTAGTACTCATATGTATGGATTTTTTGACCAAAGATCACCGCAGATTGAAGCAAGACAAAGACAATTCTCTCATCCTAAAGCATAATGTAGAGACATATCAGGCCTTGTGAGGGATAACATCTTTTACAGTTAGATGCTAATAGTGTAGAGCAGTCTGATTCTGACACAAAGATTCATGGATTTCAGCTTCCTGTTTATGAGTGCCATTTTGAGCACCAAAAAAAAAAATAAAAAAATCAAAAATGTAGTTGTCCTAATTAGGCATGCACCAATACAAGACTGATCGGATATTAGTGTCAATATTGAAAATGTTGATGGACTGAGTATCGGTCCCAAGATGTCAGATCAGTCGATATCCCATTTTGGTCTGTAAATTGGTGTAATAAGACCAATCACTGGCCAGTGTTCTTCCCAAACATCTAGTAATATTGAACGTGTCTATTTTCAGAGCTATTCTGTAGTTACTTTAACTTACAAGCCACATTTGGATCCTATTTTACCACACGACGTTTGCATTTAAAGGAAATAAATTATTTTTTGAGTCTCTGAATCACTCTGAAACCCATGGCTATTCTTGATGCTCCTTCATCATTACTAACCCAAAATCATACATCATGACAGCATAGTTGGAGCACAAAAACATGTTTATATTTCTACACGTTTATCTCAATTTAGTAGATCATTTATGGTCAATTTGAGTCCTCTTGCATGAGTGGCTGTTCATAATCAAAAGCCCTGGTGGGTCGAACAGTTAATGACATGCTTGGCCATGGACTCTGTCACGAAATGTTGACATGTTTTTGTAATGGGACAATGAGGGCCAAGCGCAGCTCCACTGATCAAGGCTGACACTTCACATGACCCCAGGCTCCCGCACGCTTGTCCCAGTGTCCCTCTGCTCTCACCGCTCGCCTCACCAGCTCCTCTCACCATTCCCCTCACCGTTCTTCTCACCACTCCCCTCACTAGCTCCTCTCACTGCTCCTCTTGCCATTCTTCTCACCATTCATCTCACCGTCCTTCTCACTGTTCTTCTCACTGTTCTTCTCACTGTTCTTCTCACCGTTCTTCTCACTGTTCTTCTCACCGCTCCTCTCAGCACTCCCCTCACTGCTCCTCTTACCATTCTTCTCACAGTTCTTCTCACCGTTTTCACTCAGTTTCTTTCACTGCTCCTCTCACCAGTTTCTTTCACTGCTCCTCTCACCGTTCTTCTCACCGATCTTCTCACCTTTCTTCTCGCTGCTTTTCACGCCGTTCTTCTCACCATTCTTCTCACCATTCTCCTCACCATTCTTCTCACCATCTTCTCACCGTTCTTCTCACCGCTCCCCTCACCAGTTTCTTTCACTGCTCCTCTCACCGTTCTTCTCACCGATCTTCTCACCTTTCTTCTCGCTGCTTTTCACGCCGTTCTTCTCACCATTCTCCTCACCATTATTCTCCCCATCCTTCTCACCGTTCTTCTCACTGCTTTTCTCGCCGTTCTTCTCACTGTTCTTTATACTGCTCCTCTCACCGCTCTTCTCACCGCTCTTCTCACCATTTTTCTCACCGTTCTTCTCA